CTCTCTCTCTCTCTCTCTCTCTCTCTCTCTCTCTCTCGGGGCTTTGGCTAGGTTTGCCAAATTGTCCGGGAGTCGGTGGAGGGCCCCGCTCTCCGACATGTACCCCGGACTTAGTCGCTTTTTGAATTTTTGAGTAGATTTATCCGAAGAAGGCTTGTCTGGTCTTCATTTTTCAGTTTTTTTCGTTTTTCAATTTCATTTTGGGTTCGTCTCCGTGTTTTTTACCATTTCACTTCTTTATATTTTCGGAAAATTAAAGACGTTCCCTTTTTTTATTTTCTTTTCTTTATTTTCCTTTATCTTGAGCGTACCCGGTCACGTTTTTTCGATGTTTTCCTCTCGCTTCATTTCACGTTCCTGATTACATCTCGTCATAGTCTGTCATCCCCCCCTTTTTCCGGTACCTTTCTTGGATATTTTTTCTTTCTTTTCGGGAGGGATGACCCGATTGGAGTACACTGACAAAAAATACCGTTCTTAATGAGGTCAGAACACAGCAAACGGGCAAGGCGGGAAGGGAATGCTGAGAAAAAGAAGTCGGGGGATAGTAATTGGGAATACGCAGCAAGCAAGATTCACTCCGAGGTTTGAGAGTCCAACTAAGGAAAGAAGCGGAAAGCGGGTATGGCATATTTGTATCGCTTTCATCTTCCGAGGTCCAGAATGCAAAAGGTAAAGCTCGACAGCGCTCGACAGGCTCAAATTTGGAAAGGAAGAGGGAGGATGGCGATGTGGGAAGATGGAAGGGGCAGAAGGGGAGGAGCAGAGACCGGAGATGAAGGGAAATGGAGGAACGGGAAAGGGCGACGAAGGGGTAGAGACAGCGATGGCCTAACGGTAGGGTACATGCGTTCAGAGAATTGGGAGAAGGGGTGGGCTAGGAGGATAGTGAAGGAGAGAGCAGGGGTAGGATAGCAGATAGGATGGGAGCTTCTCAGAAAGAACCACCGGGATATAGTGTTGGAGCTGTCTCTTATACACATCTAGATGTGTATAAGAGACAGGAGAGAGAGAGAGAGAGAGAGGAGAGAGAGAGAGAGAGAGAGAGAGAGAGAGAGAGAGAGAGGCCGAAAGGGGGAGGAGAGAAAGGGATATGATCACTGTAATCCACACGTCAACATCGCCGTGGGCAGGAAGGAGATAGTGCAGCCATAGCTGCTTAGCGGTGGGGAAGGGTCTCTCTCTCTCTCTCTCCCTCTCGCTTCAATCAATCAATCAATCAATCAATCAATCAATCAATCAATCAGGCAATCAACCATTCCAATCAACCAATCAATCAAAATTGATTGATTGATTGATTGATTGATTGATTGGTTGATTGATTGCGATTAATTGATTGATTGATTTATCGCGATTATTGATTAATCAATCAATTAATTAATCGCGATCAATCAACCAATCAGTCAATCAATCAATCAATCAATCAATCAATTGCGATCAATGCAATGCCATATGATCGCGATTGATTGATTGATTGATTGGTCGCCCCCCCGCCACTTCTCAGCAAGTACCATATGGGACCTAATGCATCCCGGGCCCGGTGGAAAGGGGCAGACCAACGAATTCAAAGAAGTATAAATCAAGAGGCAGCGTCCAGCCATTCATTCATTCTGTTGTGCGCCATGCGGAAGGGCTGCAAGAGCGTCTTGTGCGAGGTGGTTTGCAGATGCCTGAGGTCGAAGTGGGCAGGAAGGAGATAGTGCAGCCATAGCTGCTTAGCGGTAGGGGTAGCCGGCGGTCATAGCCGCCATAGCTAGTAGTCGAGTTCAACATGTGTGTATATGTACGTGTGTGGGACACAGAGTCGTGTGTGTGTGCGACATCCAGGGTGGTCCGGCGAGTGAGTGAGTGCGATCAGTGGTGGTGGACACAGTATTGGCAGTGAGTTGTGCAGGTGGTTAGGTGCCATAGCTGGTTGAAGGGAGTTGCAACTAGACTGTGTTATCGGACTTCATATCTGTGAGTTTTGTGTGGGCGTCTGGCGCCAGTTTGTTTTGCCATCTGCTTGCATGTATGCAAGTTGAAGAAGAAAGCGAGTCTGATTGCAATGGACAAAGATTCACAAATAGCCTAAGAGAAAGTGGTGTTTTTACTCGTGTAAATGTAAAAATTTGATTCAGCGGCGCCACGTCAACATTGAGAGAGAGAGAGAGGAGGTCGGCGAGTGAGAGTACGTGGCGGTGCGGGCGGTGGGGAAGAGTCTCTCTCTCTCTATCTCTCTCTCTCGTCAATCAATCAATCAATCAATCAATCAATCAATCAATCAATCAATCAATCAATCAATCAATCAATCAATCAACCAATCAACCATTCCAATCAACCAATCAATCAAAATTGATTGATTGATTGATTGATT